GCTGTATGATTTGTCCTTACAAAATGACATTGTTTGCATAACTACAGGAGTGCGTTCAAGGACGGCAAAGCTAATGCCAAAACCTACTTTTCCCCCTCCACCGGTAATGCCAAACCACGTAGGTTGGAGCCGAGCTCGAACGCAAAATGCCAATTTTGGCTTGGCTGTAGCCATTCCTGAACGCAGCCCTGATGGGGCTAGCGTAATGACAAAAGTTGGCAAACTGATCAGTCCATTTCAACAATTATGCTTTGCGCATGGTATTCAGCTAGCTGTAATAGATGTTTTATATAAGAAGAAGCTTGAACAACCTGAAATGGAAGAGAAAAGTGAAGTTGACGTTGACATCTCGGATGATGACGATTGCGGGGATGGTGACGGTGACTTGATCTTTGAAAATGCAAATGAAGAAACTGAATGTGATTTGACGGAAAATTATAACCTTGGTGATTATATCAAAGAGGTTCGAAGACTGGTTAAATTATTTAGACTATCACCAACAAAAAACAGTATTCTTCAAAAATATGTCAAAGAAATTTATGGCAAAGAACTCATGCTCATTTTAGATTGTCGGACTAGATGGAGCAGTTTATATAATATATATAATTAAATAATAATAAAATATGCTTAAGCGTTTCATTTATATGAAAGACTGTGTAAAAAAGTCTTTGATAGATCTAAACTGCACCACAACACTCTCGGACAGTTCCTACAATTTTATCGATGACGTCGTCAGAGTTTTGGAACCGGTGAAATTGGCAGTGGATGCTCTCTGTCAGAGAGATGCCAATCTTATTACAGCAGATGTCACAATAATGTTCACTTTGAAGCAACTTTCTCATGTTGAAACAGATTTAAGCAAAGAGATCCAAATTGTATTGAAACAGCGCATTCAGCAACGTCGGACTATTTTGTCTGGTGTTCTGTCCTATCTCCACAATCCCCAAGATCAGCATGATTATCCAGATTTTTTTTCTTTGCCTGGTAGAGATGCAGTCAAAAACACTATTAAAAAGCTGATTGAGAGACTTAGTGGTTCTATTTCTATCACTATTGTGGAGGATGAGGATGAAGACCACATACCGCTTGCACAACTGCAAGAGAAAAACATCACTGGTACTGATGTACATGTAAGTACTCCGGCACAGGAATCAGAGTCGCCCCTTGCAGTAGCTCTTCAAAAAACTATCGCCGAAAAGATGAGTGCGTTTCGACCTAAAGTTCAAGAGGATCCATCAGATTTAGAAACAACCCTAGATGAGGAAGTTCAGTTATTTGAGAAACAAGGTATCCGAGGACAAAATCTACAGCTCTCTTATGAGTATTTACTATCTATTCCCCCAACAAGTGTTGAGTCCGAGCGTGCATTTTCTGCTACCGGTATATTATTCTCGAAGATTCAGTCAAGCCTTAATGATAGGTCGATTGACGGACTTTTATTTCTAAGGTCATATTTTAATACAAATGAAAAATAAAACATTGTCCCTGTATACTCATATTTTCACTACAAACGTATTTGTATTAATGTAATAATAAATATAATGTAAGGAATAATTTAATAAAAGATTAAATTTGTTAATTCTCGTATAAATCCCGGTATTGAATACTGAAAATTCCGGTATTGAATACCGAAAATCGTGGTATTGAATATCGGAAATCCCGATATTGAATACCGGGATACCGATTTTTTTTTTTTCGGTACTGGAATCCCGGGATTGGAATTTTAATTCGGTATTGGATGCCCTAGTTGTGATTGGCCTGCTTTGGTTCAGATTGCCAAAAAAATTCTGGAATTCCTATTTTTGTTCCTGCCTCAAGAATCTTTTTGTTTGGGCAGCTACTTTTTGGTATTTAATAAATTTTTCGGCATAAGGATTGTTTTTATAATCCTTGAAAGCTTCTCGTCTAAGTTTAATTGTTTGATAACAACTGTGGTCTCACCGTGACGGATGTTTAATATATTATAATCTACGTCGGTGTCATTATGACACATTTAGCATTGTCATTTGAATGTCATTGGCTCCTTCATAATAGGGCAAGTACACGATCTGACAGTTTGACACTATTGACAATCGCCTTGAGGTAAAACAAAGATATAATTTACAGTGTTTTTTAAGTTTTTAGTTACATTTTTTTAAATAAATACGTTTTGTGTGCTCCAGAAGTTTCTTGGACATGCCTAGAGTTTGTTTAGTTGTTAATTCTGGCAGTATAGCGCAAGGGATACAATATCCTTCCATAGGTTTCCATCACTTTTAAATAACAATGGGAGGTTTGATTTGTTAGCTCAAGAGAGAAGAGAAAAATTGATTAATGTTCTTAAAAGAGAAGATCTGACAGAAAAATAGATTGAATTTAGAGTAACTATACTTATTGTATATTTGTTCTTGTGACGCTTGGTTTTGATATTTGTTGGAAAAAACCTGAATTTAATCCATTATAGAAAAACCTAGCAAACTTTTAGATGAAAGACCACATAGACTGGACCACAAACACTCCGCTCTAACTTTTTTTAAACAAAATAACACGAAAACTTGTGAAAAAGCTGTGGAAACCGCATAAAACATAACCGGCCTAATCTAAACGAATGTAAATAAATGATTTGTTTTACCTCAGGGCGACTGTCAAACTCATTTGTGACGTCACATGGACATGCCCTATTAGGCAATTCAAACCACGTGACAATCAAGATGGCGTAGCGGCCACACATAAGCCAAAAAACAGAAAAAAATATCTAGTTTCTACCCGATTTAATAGTTCAGGTACCTAGTCAACAAATATTTTATTAAATAATCAAAATCAAAGTTGCAAACCAAGCTCTAAGCAAAATAATTTAAAATAAGCATAAAAACATAATCAAAACAAACTTGATTGGCCGCCACGCCATATTGAATTTTCCATTTTGACAGATGGATTGAATTGCCTAATAGCACTAGTGCGTTTAAGAACTCATAAAAACACCCAAATTATGAAATGAAAAATAAACAAAAAGAAAGCTAGTTACCAGAAGAACCTTTTCATTGATGCTGTCTCGATATTCGAAAGGACACAAATCGAACTCAGAATCACCAATACTAACATTATTTTCCACTATAAAACTGAATTTATGGCACAAAAATTGACTCCAATATTGAAGGTGCCAAAGTCAAGATTCTAAAAATCAACAAACAGGTTCCCAAACTAGTACGGGCACCTGCTAAATTTTGAATTTTAATTTGAAAAGTGTTTGCTATTTCAAGGCAAATCAAATCAATTTGAACCATCGTAGATTAAATTTTGAATGATACACGTTCGATATGAACTTTTTTAGGCCCAGTTTCACAATCGGTGGTAACCAGTGCTGGTCAGTCAACTAGGGGTCTGGGGTTAACTGGGACTCCGCTCATTAACCTGTTTCACACTAAACAAACAATCGTTGGTTAAATGACTAGTGGTTGAATTTTATTTCTCAAAGGTTGGTACTTGATTTTTTTGAAAAAAATTTAAAAATCACCTTGAAAAATAAAAAAAGGCCGCTTTATACTTCACTATAACGTCACTTTTTGTGATTTGTCATTAATAATTATATTAATTTTTGTCAGTGGCAGTAAAATTTCACAGATACCTATTTAATATTGGGTTTTGTGTCGTGTTTCCTGTTTGAATTTAAATCATGAAGTCAAGTGAGAAAAAGGTTGCGAATTTTTCAAAGGAAGAAAAATATTTATAACTGTTTCTCATGTAAAAATATAAGTTCATTATGGAGTGTAAAAAAAACGGCGCATCGACGTGGAAAAAAAAAAAAGAAAATGCTTGGAGAAGGGAGGAAGCAGATTTTAATTCCAATTGTATCACTCACGGAAAAAGAAATGCAAAAGTTTTCATTCAGTAATTTTACCTTTTCAAACTTCAACTCATAGTTAACTCATACGCATCCTTTGGTTAATTCAACTACTGGTTAACTAAAGGTGTCACGTTGAACCATCAATTGTGAAACGCTGTTTTCGCTTTAACTAGTAGTTATCTCATAACTAGTAGTTAACTACACTTTGTGAAACTGGGCCTTAATGAAACTTGTATAACTAAACCACTCGGCTGTTACATGCGTTATGGTGTTCATATCGAACTACACTTTATTTTTTTCCAAGATAGATTTTGACATTGTCAACTTTGAAACATAAACAATGCCGCTAATGCCACTTATTGGCCGCTATTGTAAAACTGATGTCAACCTGCAGAAACACCTCATTTTGCGACCAATCAGGGTCAAGCGTTATTGTTTATGTTTCAAAGTTTTCAATGTCAAAATCTATCTTGGAAAAAAATAAAGTATAGTATCATTAATAACTATTATATCACTTTTATTAAAGGTTACCAATAATATATTATTGTCTGCTGCCTCGTTCATTTGTTTTAGCCAGGTGTCATAGGATCCTTGTGGTAGGTTTTGTAGTCCCAATTTGCATATTTTGTATTCCTTCTTCCATATGGTTTGAATAAATTTTGCACCTTATCAGCCTGTACCTACAAACTATTGGTAAATGATCACTGCTACTAGGATCTTCATGGACTTCCAATTGGCATTTTAGAGCAATCTGTGCCGACACAATTGTGATATCAGGGCAGCTATTTCCTTCCCTAGTAATTCTAGTTCGGTTGCCGTCATTTAGGATAATCATCGTGTTTTGCTTATTAATCGCCTGCAACAGATTTTTTTCGGCCTGGTTGTTCCGTGTGGCTCCCCATGCTTCATGTTGAGTGTTTAAAACTCCTAATATAATAACATTGCCGTCATAAAACCCCAACAAATCTGTAAAGTTTTGTACTGTTGGTATCACGTCGACACGTGTCGTCAAAAAAAAAAACGTAAATCAAACATGACTATGATTTTTTAAATGTATTTCTTATCTATATTTTTCTTTATATTTGTAATGTTATGTCAAAAATCCTGACCAAAAAACTCGCCAAAAAACTATAAAGAAACAATAATGCAACATAATTATTTCAATAATTTGTTTTAGGACGAAGAGTACTTCTATTACAGCATTGTAAACATACAAGATTTGGTAGCTGATGAAGCTCCTACTCCAATGGGTCCCAGTAAAGAAGGTCCTCTCATGTTTAAAACCCAAGAGTGTGATACTGGACGATGGGAGACTGCATATTTCATCCTTAAGTAAGTGTAATACAATTTAAACTTTTGAAAAGTAACTAAATATTTTGTTTTTAGGGCCGGTGTCCTATATATGCTTTCTTCAGTCTCTCAGCGGGTACCAATGCGAGTATTTCCTTTAATCAATGGGTCATGTCAAGGTGCTAGACGTGTTTACAACAGCCACAGACCTCACACTTTTCAATTAATTGTTGAGGGTGACACTTTGTTGTTGGCCGCTCCTGATGAATATGTTGCAAGCGAATGGTTACAGGAATTGATCCATGCTGCAAGTGGGGTAAGAATAATTAATTGGATATTTTTGTCATTGGCCTATAACAGGTGAAGTAAAAGAAATCCTGCTTGACATAATTAATTTGTTGTCAAAGGGTCAAATTGATACTTTTCTAGGTTAGCTAGTTCCACAATACATGTTTAATGATCTTTTCAGATTTACAATAATTATAAAGAGAAAAATCTAACCGTATCCTGTTCACTTCTTATGACCAGCGAACACATTCTAACTGTCCGAGAAGCTTTTCCTTGTAGCATTAGCTCGCTTCTTCCTGTGACAAAGCACGAGCCAATCAAAGGTCCTCAAGCACTTTCTTGTGCTGCTATTAGTGACTTGGTGACGTTTCGATTGCCTTCAGCAGAACAGAGCTGGTGTATTTTGGTTAGTAATATATTCAATTCAAGCGAACAAATCTTTAGGCAACTTTTCAAAAATATTCTATTTTATATTCAGGAATTTTCATGCAGAGAAGTGCATGAGTACAGCGGGGACTGGATAATTTATTTTTCTACCAATGCCGAACTGGAAACTTTCATTTCAACATTGGAAATGCTGTGGCAGTATGGCAATGAAGATGTGAGAGAATATTTTTATCTGGTTATACCAGTTATATGCTGACCATCATTTATTATTGCTTTTAGGGTAACAGTTTCCCTTTGAGTACCATTCCAGAAACAGACCCATTAAGCAAGAAATGCGTAGACATTTACAGGACGTTGCTCGACTCTTGGCCTTTGAACACGGTTCATTTGCAATTTTTGTAAGTGAGTATAGTTTTATTTAGTTAATTTTTTTATCCAAGAATTTCACCAATTATATTTTTATACCAATTAATTTTTTTTACGTTTTACTCTCAAAAGTTTCTTTTTTTTAAAGAAGCCTAATTAATTGTTTATTGTAATCAAGAAAACTGTTGAAAATTCATAGTATAAGTTTGCATTGTTTCTAGTCACAGCCTGATCCAACAATACCTACATGTGGCTTCACTCCATGATAACATTTATTTTATTTTTTTCTTTTAAAAATCTTGACAATGGTGGAATATAAAACTAGGAAAATTGGCAGTGACCAGAAACAATGCAAACTCATAGTATGAGTTGTGGATCAAAAACGCATACTCATATCTAAAAAAAAAATATAATCCCTTTCTAGTCATTTGTTTTTTTGGGATAATTTTTAGTTAGTATGTAACCAATAATGTGATAGATAGATAAGGTTTTGTATTGGCATTAAGAGTCAGAAAATATGTAATATCTAACAATGGTAATTGTTTAGTCGATAATTATTAATAATTATGATACTCTTCAAAACGCTTCTTAAAATTATCATATATCATAAAGCACATGTAGACAATGCACAAATATAATCAAAATATGTAATAAAGTGCGTATTTATAGTTGAAATAATGTTTATGCCTGCAAAATAATGATATTTTCCCTAGTCTTTTTAGTAAGCTTAATTTCGATTTTTATATTCAGTAGTTGTTATTTAATAATTATTGATAATAGTTATTTATGGTACTAGTGTGTTATGTTGAAAATAAGTCACGCTAAAAAAACTTATAATTTCTCAAGTGACTTACAAACATAACACACGAGTAGCATACAATGTTTCATCCAACAACTAAGGAATCATAAGACAAGAGCAGCATGTAAGAATTGAAAAAACTCACAGGTATTTTTTGGGAATGAATCTTCTTTGAAGTATGGTTTATAAAAAATTATTTCCTGATGTGTTGTGTTGATGTTATAAGAGAGTGAGTTATAAATCATAACTCACTAGTGGGTTATGGTTTATAACACACTAGTGTATTATTTGATTGTTTACTTGTCTTAATTGGCATAAATAATGACTTTTATAACTAGCAGGTGTTGGATAAAGTAAGTAACGTATAATAAACTTCATTTAAATTAACTTAAATTTCTTTACTTATTCAAACGTTATAAAAATGAGTTCAAATATGCTCAAGAAATGTTCTATATGTAAGTCATGTTTGTGTTTGGAACAGACAATTCAATTTGAATGAACTTTCTTGAACCACATGAAAGTTAATGTTCATGTATATGGATATTATACAAGGTGTCCCAGCCGAGAGTGACCCATTTTAAATGCTTATAACTTTTAAACCAGGTGAGCTAGCTACCTGCAGTTTGTGCCATTCGATTTCTCTTGGTCTAAAGTTTTTTCCAGTAGGTTTCAAATTTTTTTGAAACCTATACGGCGAGTAAAAAAAAAATCCGTTTCTCAACATCGAAATTCTCCACTATTTCTAATGGAACACCCTGTATATCACAACGTCAAAAAAAAGATTAATGTTTAAGGTTTCCATGTACCAATAGACATCGTCCCTAAAACTTAAAGTTTTAGCCGAAAAAAAATCAAAATTGAAATCCTGGTATTTTTGCAAACGCATGCAACTTCATGTTGTAGGAACTTGATATCACTATGGCAAACAATTTTGTAACTATCTAGTTAAATGTCAATTAAGTTGAGATACATTTTCCAAGATTTAACGAGTTCCAAAGTATTTTCTCTGGAACTCATTAAATAGAGATACCCCAACAGTAACAGTTTGGTATGCAATCTCTATTGAGAAAAAATACAGACCATTTTCATTGATGAACCAACAATAACAGAAACTGTATACACTGATATGTTCTTTTTCCCATAGTTGACACAGGAGGTTATCTTGAATGATATCTATTTTCAGCAGGATGATGCCCCCACCTCATTATTCATTAATAGCAAGGGAATCACTAGATATACCATTTGGGGAAAGACGGATAAGGAGAGCTGGCCGCTGGCCTATAGAATGGACACCTTACTCTCTTGACTTGAGAGTTCTAGACTCTTTCCTCTGGCGTTATGTCAAGGAAAGATGCGGCAATATTTTGCTAAAATAGCCTGAAAGATCTTAAGGGGAACATTTCTAATGTCATTGAAGCGATTCTCCAGGAAATGTTACACAATTCATTCAACCATTTATTGATCCAAAAATGCCTGGAATAGAATGGCTAACATATACATATAGGTACCTACAGCTTTTTGTATAGTTTTATGCAGTTGTTATTAACTTTTTATCAGGCAAACATAAGGTTGAAGCTTTGAAAAAAGGTGTTTGCAAAAATACCAAGATTTCGAATTTGATTTTTCACGGCTAAAACTTCAAGTTTTAGGGACGATGTCTATTGGTACATGGATACCTTAAACATAAATCTATTTTTTGACGTTGCGATATACAGAGCGTTCCATTGAAAATAGTGGAGAATTTCAGTGTTGAAAAACGAATTTTTTTTACTCGCCCTGTATAAGTTTAAAAAAAAATTGAAACCTACTAGAAAAAACTTTAGACCAAGAGAAATCGAATGGCACAAACCACAGACAGCTAGCTCACCTGGTTTAAAAGATAAGCATTTAAAATGGGTCACTCTCGGCTGTGACACCCTGTATTTTGCATACAGTAACAATAATAGCTTATTAAATATAAGGCAGGTGACACACTAGAGAAATAGGTTTCATGAAACTTGTAAGAAACAGGAAATTTATTTCATTATCCCATCACACATACATTCAAATGAGGCGGAGCACACTGACAAAACAATTTCTACTTTCCTGTTTAGAACCGCCAGTGTGTTCCGCCTCATTTGAATGTATGTGTCGTGTAGTATCGCAACAAATTTCCAGTAGCGTCTTGCATCAAGTTTCAAGAAACTTATATCTCTAGTGTGTCACCTGCTTAAGTAACATCTTTAATCTAATGCAGGTGACACACTGGAGAAATAGGTTCCACGAAACTTGTTGCAAGGAACAGGAAATTTGTTTCATTATCACACGACACATACATTCAAATGAGAAATTTTGTGGAAGAGAACGTCTTTCGCGTTATTTGTTTCAGAAATTCATTCATGTGGCTCATCCATCACAACAAATACAGAATATAGCACTTGAAACTCTTAATACTTGAGTGTGCGTTGACATTAAACAAAGTTTCATGAAACTTGCTTCAGTTTGTCTATCACCTGTCTTAAAGATCTTTAGAAACAAACTCTAGAAAACATCAATTTCTATTTCAAGATGTGCACGTTTTCGTAGAAGATTGTTGAGGTCGGTGGCATACTGGAGAAAAGTTTCCTGAAACTCGTTTGCAAGAAACAGGAAATTTTTTTCATTATCATAAGCACACTGGCGTTGCTGAAACAGGACAACTGAAATTGTTTTGCATGGAAGTTTCGTAAACGTGCGGCATCTCGGGTTTTTTTTTTGGAAATTCATCTATGTGGTTTTTTGAGCACTACATCTGTGTGAAACTTGTAACTGTGTGAAACTTGTAACTGTGTGCGTTGACATGAAACAAAGTCTCAGTTTCAGTGAGTTCACAAGTCTGGTGGAACTTATTTCTCCAGTGTGTCATCTGTCTAAGGTTTTTTTCAAATAGCACTACTTTTTTTCTTATCAATTACTTTTGAATATAATCTAAGATTGGACAATAAATAAACTCATTTCTAATAGTTGTAGTGAAATAATCTGACATTCTTTCACCTGTCTTTAAGCAATATGTATTACAGAAAAAAAAATATCGCGTTGGCTATTCTAGTGGAACTAATCTAAATATTTTTATTTTATTGGTGCCCCATTTTGCGTATTTGAGACAACCCGAGAAACGTCGAGCCTTTACGGAAACAAATCCAATTAACCTGATCACCAGTCTTTTTTTATTTGTGTTTATTAAAAAAAGATGAAAAACAAACAGCTGGTGATCAGATTAATCGGTTTTTTCCTTAAGGCCATTAATGTCAACTTTTCAATTATTGATCTGACAGGAGTATCTTGTCACGTCAAATAAAATATTTCTGACAGATATTTAGTCTATGCAGATATTTCAAATGCTTTACTGTGAGGGTTTTTATTCAAGTACCTTTAGTACATATTATACTATTAAACATGTTTTGAGAAAAAAAAAAATTGAAAATAGAAATTTGTCAGTGATTTTATTCCATTATGTATATTATGTTATTTTAATGTGTTTTATTATTGTTACCCAGTGGTACTGTGGATAGGTACTAATAATTGGTTTCAGAATTGAGGCTGGATTATTCCGTTCCATGAGATCGGATCCAATGTGCATCCATCAACTCAAATTACTGAAACTTAGCTTAATTATTTTTAAATAATACTGAGTAAATATTTTTTCTATTGCTTTTTATCAATGTTTCTTATTTCCTAATTTTATTGTTTTTTTTTAAACCAATTTTATGGATATTTTTGGCTGTTATTAAATTAATTGAAATAAAATTATTGTAAGATTGTATTGTTATATGTATTAGTAAGTATTGATATTTATGCATATTGCAGCTCTTCAGATAAATAAATAAATACTATATAATACAATAATGGCATTTTTGATAGATATCCTTAATGAAAAACAAGATTGGACTGGGCTATAAGCCGTTCCGTGATCATTTAGTACGCTTATACTTTTAGCTGGGCACAATATTGTAGATCTAACTTTTTTTTAAATGCTGCTAGTAAACGTAGCTGAGTGATGTTAGAATTAGTATAAACATCACAACATGGGTAGAGTGGATTCACATGTAAGACATAACACGATGGGATTTCTGGAAAGGAACTTAACTGTTTTCAGTGGAACTTTACAATTTACTTTTATTGAATTTAAGAAATTAAATCAATAGCCTTTCAGCTCCATTAAAGGGGTTTGACAATATTGAGTAAATAGATATAGGAGGACAAAACTTCATAGAAAATAACTCCATATACAGGTCCAGGTTGTGAATTTTGGTTATTGGACATTCAAAAAAGATATGATTAAGATCTATTTCTCAAATTCACACAGCGGGTTCTCTCTCATGTTAATTTTATGCATAAATTCACCCGTCAAACAATGTCCTGTGCGCATTCTGATTATTGTAGTTATATGTCTTTGATCCAAGAAAAGTGAAGAAGAGAACCATTTTTTTATTGGGGAGCCTTACAAATACTTAATAAATCGTGTAATCTGCAAGAGAATTTATACTTTAATTGAGGAATGGAGATACCAAATCCTACTCGATCATCTTTCTTAGAGGCGTCTGAATATACTAATATAAATTCCTCCCCGAACTCTGGCCGCATAAAACTTTTCTTTAATGCATAGCTTCACTTTTATCAATTTTACAGTCAACAATTTCTAGGGGACGAAACAAATTCTTATAATCCACTTCATAACATTGAAGGGTACGGCCTTCATAAATTGTGTTAAGTTGTGGTAAAAAGTATTCTAAGATTTCTCCCGTATATGGTACCTCAGTGGCGTGCGGAGGTCTTTAGAGTTACGGAAGCGGCCGAGGGGGCGTTACAGGGGGTATACCCCCCCCCTTGTCCTGTAATGCGCCGCAGGCGAAAATTTTCACAAATTTCAGGGTCATTCACTTTTCTAGATCTATGCATAGGTAGGTACATTTGTAATGTTGCAACTGGTTAACCATTCATATTTCTCATAAAATCCAACGTGATCCACTTTCGTCTCTAAATTAAACGTTTACGTTGTCGCAATGAGCTTTTAGTACATTTACGTTATGTTTCAGAGAAAATAATTACTAAATTATTGTCAATTGCTATGCATTAAAAATTAGTAAATAATATTTTTTTTATTTTTTTATCTCCAAAAAGTTTAGGGAAGCGGTGCTTCCCCCGCTTCCATGGACCGCACGCCCCTGTGGTACCTTTGAGTTCACAATTGCACCCTGTCTAAGTATTAAGGATCTACGATTATCCATCAATCTCCCTACTATAAGGTTTTTTTCAATACTTTTAATTTTAGTTAAGAAATTTAGTGTCAAAAATTTCCTCCTTTGTTCCAAATCATACATGAGGCTTCTGCCAGCAAGGTAGCTCTTGGAGTAGATCTCATACTGCCGAGGCATATGCGTAAGCCCTCATAAAATATCATATCCAGTTTATTAATTAATAAATTGCTCACTGGCTTAAGTAATATTGAACCAGAGTCCAGATGCGACACCACCAGCGCCTGAAATACCATTAATAGAGTTGTAGGGTCTGCACCCCACCACACCCTGCAAATGGCTTTCAGGATGTCCAAAGCCTTTCTCGCTTTATTGGTCATGTTTTCTATACAGGGTGACAATTTGAAAAGTAGCAATCGGAAATATCTCTTAGACAAAAAATACTATCAGGAAGATCTCAAATACGTATTGGGGAATTGGAGGGGGAACCAAAATGAGGAACTTTTTGAGTCACCCCTTAGGGGGTAGCTACCCTGACTTATTTTTTGTAAATACGAACCTACCTTGTGTTGCACATCGTTCGATAGCGCGTTGCTATCCCTTTACAGTCATATAGCAAAATCTTAAATCAGACGATTAGTTTTTGAGATATCGATGTTTAAAAGTGAGCATATTTTGAAAACAAGTAATTTTGACTATCTCTTAGACAAAAGAATTCTGTCATAAAAGTTTCAAATACACATCGGGGAAACCAAATGTGTTTATTGCCCAAGATAAGAACAAGAAAAAGCAAGACAAGAACAAGAAATACCTGCAACACTACTTTTAAGCTACGCAGGGGAAAATTTGACCAAATTTTCATAAATAAAAAAGTTATAGCCCCCCTGCCAAACTCCAAACTTTTCAAAAACCCCTCGTAGCATAAAAACGACTCGACATATCGAGATGCAGTTTTCACCAGTCAATTTCTCTCGGAAATCGAGGGTCGCAAGTGGGGATCAGATTTTTTCCAATTCCTTTAGAAATACCCGAAACCCCCCAAAACCATGGAATCTTGGACACCCTGTACATATTCGTACCGAGAAAAATAAAAATGAAATTTTAATAGTTATTTGTGCAACCAGTTGGGAAAAGCACTATTTTTCGTAACACTATTTTAAATGGAACACCCCGTATTAAATTGCATATTTGGATTCTACGTAAAATTCTGAGCAGATTTCATGTGATATACCCTATACCTAAGTTCAACTGTTTTGGAAATATTGACAGTTGAAAATTGACTTTTTGCAACTTTGACAGGCTGTAGAACCTGAACGGTTAATTTTAGAGGAAAACCAATTTTACATTCCTATCTTAGATTTTTATAAACTATCATTTGACACCATCTTTGAATTAAATCCATGATTAAAAATTTCAGTTAAATTTAATCTCCGGTTAAGTTCAAAGTTGGTGTCAAATGATAGTTTATCAAAATCTAAGCTAGGAATGTGAAATCGGTTTTCCTCTAAAATTAACCAATTAGGTTTTACAGCCTGTCAAAGTTGCAAAAAGTCAATGTTCAACTGTCAATATTTCCAAAACAGTTGAACTTAGGTATAGGGTATATTACATGAAATCTGCTCAGAATTTTACGTAGAATCCAAAGATGCAATTTAATACGGGGTGTTCCATTTAAAATAGTGATGTTGCCACTAGTTTAGAGTAGAAGCGGCAACACCGCATGATCAAAAATATTTTTAAAGTGTAGATCATGGTTGTTTATCCCGGTTGCCAAATTTTCAAAATGATCCGCTTTTTAGTTCTCCATAAACGTCTAATACGCCATCCACCGTGGGACACCCTGTATAAATGTGTGTGTTGGATAAATGATGATCTTATCAATATCATTGATTTAGCGGCTCTAGAAGCCATTCCCAAAAAAAGATGTGGAATTACAGGAATTGTAGGAAACCCTTGGTGGGACGAAGAATGTACAGAATGGATAGAGGAAAGAAGAAACACTATAAATTATTTCAATAGGTACCCAACATCAAACACCTACATTGAAGTCAAAAGAATTATTGCATTGACTAAAAGAAAATTAAATTGTAAAAAGGGAGAAAAATTCATATTTTGTCATTCAATAAATAGAGAATCTAATATAACTTATATTTGGAACAAAATTTATAAAAAATTCAAATAAATCCAATACCTATTAACGCTAGAGAAGTCATGGCTATTGATAATTTGAAAAAAACCATACTTGGAAAAATGGTGAAAATTGATATTGATCCGTCTTTTCAAATGTTGTCTCCAAACATAAATTCTAATATTAATCTCTTTAGCATAAACGAATTGAAGTTTGCTCTTCAGTCCAAAAATATGTCTGCCACAGGTATGGACGATTGCTCAATGCTAAAAAATTTGCCGTATAAGGCAAATCAGATATTAATCAATTATTTGCTATAACAATTTATTGTTGGGAACACAATGATTCCTACTGCATTGTAGTATAACATACCCGGGTTCGTTCAGTAAGATTGAACGGTGTGAATTTTTGTTACCTTTTAAACAACAAATCTTCTGAAAAACGAAATGAAAAACAAATAGGACCCACGTTGTGTCAATTTTTACTTAGGTACTGGACATGCGCCCGACATAGCAAATATTAGGAAAATTCAAGGGAGGTTGTGACATGTAAAAGAAACGAATAATTTGTGAAACGTTTACTTTATTATTAAAGTAAATCATACCGTTCTCATCCTGGAACTAACGAGGGGAAAGAGCATGGCACAGAAGCCATCGATCTAACATTCCTCAAAAATCAAAACATACTGGTGTCATTTCAATAATAATTGTGAGTCATTATACAAAGATTCGATTAAATATTTGGGGACCGGGGATACATTTTCATAGACATCTTCGATGGAATATTAATACAGGGTGACAATTTGAAAAGTAGCAATCGGGAATATCTCTTAGACAAAAAATACTATCAGGAAGTTCTCGAATACGTAGGTATCGTGGGATTGGAGGGGGAACCAAAATGAGGCACTTTTTGAGTCACCCTGTCTCGCCCCTTAGGGGGTAGCTAGACCAACTTATTTTTTTTTTAAATACTAACCTACCTTGTGTTGCACATCGTTGGATATAGCTCGTTGCTATCCCTTTGCAGTCCTATAGAAAAATCTTAAATCGTACGATTAGCTTTTGAGATATCGGTGTTTAAAAGTAAGCACATTGTGAAAATGTAGCGCCCGCCCTGGTATCACTATTTAAGATGTTGATTGTTGGCGAGCGGTTTCCAATTTATTACAGATTTTTACCAGAGTGGCTACAGTGGTATCGTTCGTAATTGCTAAGGGTGGAAATAAGTACACAAATCCTCTGCATTTCACATGGTTGATATCTCTTTATTTAAATAATCAGGTAAACAAACTTCTTTACTCCAAGACTTAAGAGCTTATCTCTCAAATTAGTAACTTCAATTTCAAAAACATTTCATCAAGTCCCTTATTTAATATCAATCGCTACTTTGCTGTTGTATTCTTGAAAAGTTTATACGATTTACTAGCATAATAGTATTTTCTTCAACGAGCATTATATAATGATGGCTCTATTATTCACGAGAATGAAAATTCAATTCGGAATTGGAATCATTCGAGTGAA